GGGCAAAAGACGAGGCTTTCCATTCTCAAACTTGATGGCAGTGAGCTGTTTTAGTTCCCCACCTACATGTGGGGCAATGTATGGAAGTGAAGTGTTGGTGAAAGCATAGGCGGCCCTTCCCAGGCGGCCACAGAACACTCTCATGACTAGGTGCAGCAGAGCTGTAGATGAAGGGGGCGTCCCAATCTCCCCACTTCTTTGCACCCATTTTACAATGATTGGAAGGGGGAAATAAATTCCCGTCGTTATCAGCCACGGAGTTTTTATGGTTTATGTGAGGGAGTAATCAACCCTCCTAACCCCCCACCCCCCCAAAAAGGAGGGAGCTGCAGATTCTGACCCACAGCTGCCCCAGGGCTGTTCCAAGTCTGTAACCTGTACAAAAACCACTGTTCTATCTCCCTCTGAGAGGCTGGTGGGTTCGAACCTCTGTTAGCAGCCAACTGCATAATCACTGGGCCCTTATGGCCAAACTCACTGCTACTGAGTAGAGTCCAACTTACAGCAGCAGAGTAGAACCGCCCCTGTGTGTTTCCGACACTGTAACTCATTACAGGCATAGAAAGTCTCATCTTTTCCCCGGAGCGGCTAGTGGTTTCAAACTGCTGACCTTGCAGTTAGCAGCCCAATGAGACACCCACTACAGCATCCCTTTAACCCCTGGAGGAAGCTGGGTTGAATCACCTTAGTTTATGCAAGGCCACAGCTTTGAAACCCCCCAGGAGCAGTTCTACTGTGACACACACGGGGGCGCTGTGAGTCGGAATCTGCGTGCCAGCAAGGAACAACAACGATGGCAAGGATCCCTGTTGGTGTAGTGGTTGTGAGTTGGGCTGGGATCTGCATGGTTGGCAGTTCAAAACCCTCAGAGGCTTCTTACTTCCACCAACAGTTATAGTCTAGGAAACCCACAGGAGGTCATGATAGTCAGCTAGGACTTGATGGCAGTGCGGTGTTTTGTTTTGTTTCTTAAACAACTGGGGGTTACTCCTTCACTTCCCCAGAGAGTTACCCAACATCAAAGGGGACTTCACGGACTACCCAGCCACAGGGTGGAATTTCAGGGGAACATAGGCATGTCGGATAAGAACACTTTTAATAGTGCTAAGACATCAGATAATGTAAGCTATGACAAAATAATTTATAAATTATCAAGGGTTCATGAAGGAGGGGGTGGCAGGGAGGGAGG